TAAGCCCATTCAAATCTCCTCCGAGTACTGTGCCTGCCACACTAAACCCATTCAAATCTCATCCGAGTACTGTGCCTGCCGCACCAAGCCCATTGAAATCTCTTCCGAGTACTGTGCCTGCCACACCAAACCCATTCAAATCTCATCCGAGTACTGTGCCTGCCATACCAAACCCATTCAAATCTCATGCGAGTACTGTATTTGCCACACCAAACCCATTCAAATCTCATCCGAGTACTGTGCCTGCCACACCAAACCCATTCGAATCTCATCCGAGTACTGTGCCTGCCACACCAAACCCATTCAAATCTAAACCCATTCAAATCTCATCCGAGTATTGTGCCTGCCACACCAAAACCATTCAAATCTCATCCGAGTACTGTGCCTGCCACACCAAACCCATTCAAATCTCATCCGAGTATTGTGCCTGCCACACCAAACCCATTCAAATCTCATCCGAGTACTGTGCCTGCCACACAAAACCCATTCAAATCTCATCCGAGTACTGTGCCTGCCACACCAAACCCATTCAAATCTCATCCGAGTACTGTGCCTGCCACACCAACCCCATTCAAATCTCATCCGAGTACTGTGCCTGCCACACCAAACCCATTCAAATCTCATCCGAGTACTGTGCCTGCCAAACCCATTCAAATCTCATCCGAGTACTGTGCCTGCCGCACGAAACCCACTCAAATCTCATCCGAGTACTGTGCCTGCCACACCAACCCATTCAAATCTCATCCGAGTACTGTGCCTGCCACACCAAACCCATTCAAATCTCATCCGAGTACTGTGCCTGCCACACCAAACCCATTCAAATCTCATCCGAGTACTGTGCCGGCCACACCAAACCCATTCAAATCTCATCCGAGTACTGTGCCTGCCACACCAAACCCATTCAAATCTCATCCGAGTACTGTGCCTGCACACCAAGCCCATTCAAATCTCATCCGAGTACTGTGCCTGCCACACCAAACCCATTCAAATCTCATCCGAGTACTGTGCCTGCCACACCAAACCCATTCAAATCTCATCCGAGTACTGTGCCTGCCACACCAAACCCATTCAAATCTAATCCGAGTACTGTGCCTGCCACACCAAACCCACACAAATCTCATCCGAGGACTGTGCCTGCCACACCAAACCCATTCAAATCTCATCCGAGTACTGTGTATGCCACACCAAACCCATTCAGATCTCATCCGAGTACTGTGCCTGCCACACCAAGCCCATTCAAATCTCATATCAGTACTGTGCCTGCCACACCAAACCCATTCAAATCTCATGCGAGTACTGTGTCTGCCACACCAAACCCATTCAATTCTCATCCGAGTACTGTGCCTGCCACACCAAACCTATTCAAATCTCATCCGAGTACTGTGCCTGCCACACCAAACCCATTCAAATCTAAACCCATTCAAATCTCATCCGAGTACTGTGCCTGCCACACCAAACCCATTCAAATCTCATCCGAGTACTGTGCCTGCCACACCAAACCCATTCAAATCTCCTCCGAGTACTGTGCCTGCCACACCAAACCCATTCAAATCTCATCCGAGTACTGTGCCTGCCACACCAAACCCATTCAAATCTCATCCGAGTTCTGTGCCTGCCACACCGAACCCATTCAAATCTCATCCGAGTACTGTGCCTGCCACACCAAACCCATTCAAATCTGATCCGAGTACTGTGCTTGCCACACCAAACCCATTCAAATCTCATCCGAGTACTGTGCCTGCCACACCAAACCATTCAAATCTCATCCGAGTACTGTGCCTGCCACACCAAACCCATTCAAATCTCATCCGAGTACTGTGCCTGCCACACCAAACCCATTCAAATCTCATCCGAGTACTGTGCCTGCCACACCCAACCCATTCAAATCTCATCCGAGTACTGTGCCTGCCACACCAAACCCATTCAAATCTCATCCGAGTACTGTGCCTGCCACACCAAACCCATTCAAATCTCATCCGAGTACTGTGCCTGCCACACCAAACCCATTCAAATCTCATCCGAGTACTGTGCCTGCCACACCAAACTCATTCAAATCTCATCCGAGTATTGTGCCTGCCACACCAAACCCATTCAAATCTCATCCGAGCACTGGCCTGCCACACCAAGCCCATTCAAATCTCATCCGAGTACTGTGCCTGCCACACCAAACCCATTCAAATCTCATCCGAGTACTGTGCCTGCCACACCAAACCCATTCAAATCTCATCCGAGTACTGTGCCTGCCACACCAAACCGATTCAAATCTCATCCGAGTACCGTGCCTGCCGCACCAAGCCCATTCAAATCTCATCCGAGTACTGTGCCTGCCACACCAAACCCATTCAAATCTCATCCGAGTACTGTTCCTGCCACACCAAACCCATTCAAATCTCATCCGAGTAATGTGCCTGCCACACCAAACCCATTCAAATCTCATCCGAGTACGGTTCCGGCCACCACAAACCCAGTCAATCTCATCCGAGTACTGTTGCCCTGCCACACCACGCCCATTCAAATCTCATCCGAGTACTGTTCCTGCCACCCAAACCCATTCAAATCTCCATCCGACAGTACCTGCTCCTTCCACACCAACCCCATTTCAAATCTCTCGAGTACTGCGCCTGCCACACCAAACCCATTCAAATCTCATCCGAGTACTGTGCCTGCCACACCAAACCCTTTCAAATCTCAGCGGAGTACTGTGCCTGCCACACCAAACCCATTCAAATCTCATCCGAGTACTGTGCCTGCCACACCAAACCCATTCAAATCTCATCCGAGTACTGTGCCTGCCACACCAAACCCATTCAAATCTCATCCGAGTACTGTGCCTGCCACACAAAACCCATTCAAATCTCATCCGAGTACTGTGCCTGCCACACCAAACCCATGCAAATCTCATCCGAGTACTGTGCCTGCCACACCAAACCCATTCAAATCTCATCCGAGTACTGTGCCTGCCACACCAAACCCATTCAAATCTCATCCGAGTACTGTGCCTACCACACCAAACCCATTCAAATCTCATCCGAGTACTGTGCCTGCCACACCAAACCCATTCAAATCTCATCCGAGTACTGTGCCTGCCACACCAAACCATTCAAGTCTCATCCGAGTACTGTGCCTGCCACACCAAACCCATTCAAATCTCATCCGAGTACTGTGCCTGCCACACCAAACCCATTCAAATCCCATCCGAGTACTGTGCCTGCCACACCAAACCCATTCAAATCTCATCCGAATACTGTGCCTGCCACACCAAACCGATTCAAATCTCATCCGAGTACTGTGCCTGACACACCAAACCCATTCAAATCTCATCCGAGTACTGTGCCTGCCACACCAAACCCATCCAAATCTCATCCGAGTACTGTGCCTGCCACACCAAACCCATTCAAATCACATCCGAGTACTGTGCCTGCCACACCAAACCCATTCAAATCTCATTCGAGTACTGTGCCTGCCACACCAAACCCATTCAAATCTCATCCGAGTACTGTGCCTGCCACACCAAACCCATTCAAATCTCATCCGAGTACTGTGCCTGCCACACCAAACCCATTCAAATCTCATCCGAGTACTGTGCCTGCCACACCAAACCCATTCAAATCTCATCCGAGTACTGTGCCTGCCACACCAAACCCATTCAAATCTCATCCGAGTACTGTGCCTGAGTACCCTGCCACACCAAACCCATTCAAATCTCATCCGAGTACTGTGCCTGCCACACCAAACCCATTCAAATCTCATCCGAGTACTGTGCCTGCCACACCAAACCCATTCAAATCTCATCCGAGTACTGTGCCTGCCACACCAAACCCATTCAAATCTCATCCGAGTACTGTGCCTGCCACACCAAACCCATTCAAATCTCATCCGAGTACTGTGCCTGCCACACCAAACCCATTCAAATCTCATCCGAGTACTGTGCCTGCCACACCAAACCCATTCAAATCTCATCCGAGTACTGTGCCTGCCACACCAAACCCATTCAAATCTCATCCGAGTACTGTGCCTGCCACACCAAACCCATTCAAATCTCATCCGAGTACTGTGCCTGCCACACCAAACCCATTCAAATCTCATCCGAGTACTGGCCTGCCACACCAAACCCATTCAAATCTCAGTGCCTGCCACACCAAACCCATTCAAATCTCATCCGAATACTGTGCCTGCCACACCAAACCCATTCAAATCTCATCCGAGCACTGTGCCTGCCAACCAAACCCATTCAAATCTCATCCGAGTACTGTGCCTGCCACACCAAACCCATTCAAATCTCATCCGAGCACTGTGCCTGCCACACCAAGCCCATTCAAATCTCATCTGAGTACTGTGCCTGCCGCACCAAACCCATTCAAATCTCATCCGAGTACTGTGCCTGCCACACGAAACCATTCAAAGTCTCATCCGAGTACTGTGCCTGCCACACCAAACTCATTCAAATCTCATCCGAGTACTGTGCTTGCCACACCAAACCCATTCAAATCTCATCCGAGTACTGTGCCTGCCACACCAAACCCATTCAAATCTCATCCGAGTACTGTGCCTGCCACACCAAACCCATTCAAATCTGTTGGTTCTGAGAACCCCCAGGTCTAGAGCCAACAGGCCTCGGAACTTGATGATCAGCGTCTGCCATGTAATCTTCTCTGTATCGTTCCAATGAATGAAACCACGGTCGAAACTATGGCGGCAGAAGGACTTGTTTTCTCGCACAAACGAAGTTGCTCATGTACCTCATACACCCTTAGGGTTGGGATCAAGCTACCTTCGTGCCATGTCTGCTGCCTCTGATGCTTGTGCAAAGTCTGCAAGACACGGCTGCAGCGGTCGCGTTGGGCGCACCTGGGACAGGGGACATCAACACTCCTCCTTGGTTTGAAACATTGTGTCCAAACCATCCAGCATAGCCCAACGATCAAAAACGTAGACATCACATGTCGGTTGTGCTTCCCGCTCCACAGGAATCATGCATCACGCTATTGCTTCTTGCACCCTCACCCCAAAGCCAAAGCATCAATGGAACGTCGGTACAAAGGTCTTGCACCGTTGCAAAACTGGCAATACTCTGCTCGCCTGGGTTGCACCCCATTCAGGCCATGACAATGCGGGCTCGTGTGAATCTTTGAAGAAGCTGACCCAGTTTTCCAAAACTGGTTTGTCGGGTATTGCACATAGGACACCTCTGGTGCCCTGAGCTCCCAAGGACTGGAGCTTGAGGTTGCTCCCCGTGGAACTTCTGGGATCGGAGGAACCGGTGGATACGCCGGCTCAACAACTGGAGGTGGTGGAATGGGAGTTCTGGACGCAGTCTCCAACACACGTGCTCGAACTTCACGCGGAGAGCTTGATTGACGTAGGGAATCATCAGTCTCCAACGTCCTGTCCAGCTCCACTTCGGCTGCTGCTCGGGCCGCTTCACGTAGCTTTCGTAGTCGTCGGTTCTTCGGGCTCTCCCGACACAGTCCCCAAAACCACTTGGCACCATGTTTCAAGCCTTCCCAAAAACCAACTGTAGCAACACACACCACGATTGTCAACAGGAACAGTTCATCCGCTCCAGTCACCTTGATACTTCTTCCAGTTGTCGTAGCTTCCATCGGTTCAGCAGTACTGTCATCACGCCCACTCGACGGACTCGACGCACCCGCAGGGATGATGAGCATGGCCAGAACGACACATACTACTGCCAGCTTTCGGAGTCCCACCAACTGCACAGCTTCAGCAGGTAGGTTGACGAAACACCATTGTTGTAGCAAGTCCCAAAGCCTTGCCTTGCTATGCATCTTGGTGGCCAAATCCGCAAGTTGACGACAACCGTCAACGTGTTCCACCTCCAGAAGCCCAAGTTCAACTTGTTGACGAACATGTGCACTTCGGACCTTCAAATGTCTGGTCCTCCAGGAACCCTGTCCGCCGGCCAGCATGGCCAGGGCAGAGGTATTGTCTACCCGTAGGATCCGCCTCAACCTTGTTCCAGATAGCTCATCAAGGAGACACCCGATGCTTTCAAGTAACACCGTGGCTTGCGTGGCTTCGTACAACTCTGCCTCCATCACGGACAGTACGATGAAAGCCTGTTTGCTGGCTTTCCAAGCAACTGGTGCCCCATTGACTGTAACTACGCAGGCCCCAAACGATCTGGATCCGTACGGGGCGAAGCTGGCGTCAGAAAAGGCAGTTAGGCAGGGAATACTTGCACACGCACGCTTGCTTGTGGTGTCTGCTGCCTCTGCTGCTGCTGTACTGCTGGTGCTGGTACTTGGCTCATGTCTTCCAATGACCAGTTCCATCTTCTCAGTAGCCTTCAAGTAGCTCATGATTCTTCCGCCGATCTGCTTCACCTTGTTCGGCTGTTTGCTCACTCTTGACGCCATGTAGTTCACCGGGAAAAGGAGATCCGGACGCGTTCTCATACACAACCACAGCTGTTCTCCGACGATTTTTTGAGCCATCTTCAACTCCAGTTCCGAAAAGTTCTCCTGTTCGTCCAGCTCTTCATCTGCTAGCCACTCCTTCGGACATGGGAGCTTGCTTTCGACGGCATCATCCATGGAGTGGGAACGAAGGAGATCTCGGATATAAGCCGACTGTGCGAGGTGGAAAACGCAGTTTTCATCTTGCTTGATTTCCATTCCAAGGTACCGAACTCCTTCACCCTGATTTGCAAACTGTAAGCCACTGGTTGGCCACTCTTCTTCCAGCCAGACGTGGATTGCACGAATAATCTCCTCCTCCGAGAGATACAACAGATCATCCACATACGTGATGATCAGTCCCAGCAGGTCCAGGTCATTGTCGTTGGCGAAGATGAGCCAGAGCTCAGGGTCGGCCTTGGAAGGTTTTAGCTTCAAGGTCCTTTTTCCACATGGTATGCTCGCCATAGACATCCTCAAGGCCCTGCATCTCGCCCATATACTTGGAGATTCGCGAAGACCATACAATGGCCTGAGGACCAACCAAGCCTGTGGCTCCTCCTCAGGGTTGACAAGATACTTGGGTGGCAAGATGGCATACTTCGGCATATCGTCCGGCCAGAGGGCCAACAGAAAAGCCGACACAATATCGGTGCTGGCCGCCAGCCAACGGCGAAGAGCCGCAAAAGCCAGCGAGGTTCGAAGTGTCTCGGCCGATGCTCCTCCAGCGTATAGCTCAGCATCATCTTCCCCTCTAGCCACGAAGTTCCCGCACAGTACAAGCCGAAATTTCCTTCTCACCCTCTCATTTTTTGTTCCAGAGCCCGGAGGTTTCAGCGTAAACACACCTTTTGATGGTACTATCCTCAGGCCTTCAGAGCGTTCAAGTTCCCGTGCTCGGGACAACGGAATTTTCTGCAAGGTACCAGCGAAAAGGGTGTCCAGCTCCTTTTGGATTGCTTGCCACCATCGATGTATCACTGGCTTCACCTGTTCCAGAGGGACAGTATGGACCACTTTTAAATCTTCTTGCAGGTTCGCAACAAGGGCCTCATAATCTTGTTCATTTGTCGTTTGCATCATGCACAATCTCCGGGCTTGCAAACACTTCGCCAACGTATTCGCAGTGTCCTTTGCCTCGTTCCTGCCAACGGACTCCATCATCTCGTAAATCATTTGCTGAACATGTTGGATCTCTTCAGAAATTTGCTTGCCAGCTCGTTGACATTCTTCCGCTAGCACTTCTTCTTGTTCCAGTAGTTCCCGGAGTCGCCCTTGACGTTCTTCCAAATCGTCAAGGAGGAGCTCTTGCTCATCCCCAATTCTCTCCAACGCCTCGCCCAGTTTCTCGTCCACCTCCTTATCTAGGAAAGGGCCAAGCCACATTTCGCAAGATTGGGACTGGTCAGCATTCTTCGGGATGTCACCTGAGGCATACTGGAACTGGTCGGCATTCTTCAGGAGGTCACCTGAGGCATACTGGAACTGGTCGGCATTCTTCAGGAGGTCACCTGAGGCATACTGGAACTGGTTGGCATTCACCTTCCGAAGCTCTCTTCTTTTCGGTAAAGTGAACCCCAGCTCCTTTATACGCCTTCGATCTTCTTCATGAAGCTTGGTCGCTCTCGGTGTGAAAGCAATCAAAACCACACGATCACCCTCCCATTCTTGTACTTCATGCCATTTTCGTCCAGAAAAAACTATCGGCTTCCCCCTTTCCAGCTCCTGCACTTTGCCTCGTTTAGGAGATTTCGCTCCAGGTGGTGTTCTGAAAACCGCCCCTTCTTCAGGAACATCTTCATCTTCTATCCAAAGACCACCACCGTTCTCAGGGACAAGCAGAGGTAGGAGAACATTCCGGGAGTCCGCTTCGTTGTGAACATCACGATGACATCCAAACGACGTATTCCGAATAAGTCCCAAAGCAGTGAACTCTCTTTGACCAGTGATCTCCTTTGTCGCCTTGACCAAATACTTTGTTGTCCACTTCATTCTCTTCGTTGTGTTGCGAATCCCGGCCACTCCACCATGCACGAAAACACCAGTCAACCACGACAACTGATTCTCTTGTTGGACAGCTCTACTGCCGTGGGCCTCAAGCTTTGTGGTTCCCAGTAACTTGCTCAGCTCCAACAGAACTTCCACAGTCCATTTCTTTTCACGAAACATTTTCCTGGCGAACGCTTCCGCTTCCACCTCCGACGCGCTCAAGGGCCTCGAAAGTGACGCCAACAGCAACGACAACGAGGTCTTCCCTCTCACTCGTCTCTCCGGCATGGGCAGGTCCATCTCATGAGGAGGTATCTCGACCAGATCATCGGCGGGAACTAAGCTTGCTCTTAAGTGCATGCTTGTGACATAGGAACCGTCCTCGAACCTGACCAAATGACCACCACGAACATCAGGAGAAGGGCCAACATAGAGTCCTTGACGCCAACGTGGGTCGAGATCATATTTTCCTCCAGTTCCATAAACCTTGGTCCTCACATGCACTGGAGTTCCAAAAGGAATAGGCCCCTTCCGGCCCAGAGCTTCCTCTCGCTGCTTGTAGACGGCGTATGCCATTGCAAGTGGCCACCCTGAAGGCGGCAATCTGCTCGAACGCAGGAGGGTCTTGGCATGGGACTTAACCATCTTAACGGTCGCCTCGGCTCTACCGTTCTGTTGTGGGCTTTGAGGCTCACCAGTCGTTGGGAGAATTCCTCTCTCAACGAACCAAGCTCGAAGATTTCCATTGCACAGCTCGCGTGCCCGATCTGAGTGACATCGAAAAACCGGTAATCCTTCGGCTTCGACTTGGAGGAGCATCTTTCGCACGCAAGCATTCACCTCTGCTGTTCTTCGAGATCTCATCGGCACAGCAAAGCGAATCACATGATAACGGATGTTGTCGCCCACCTCCTTCACGACCTCCTTATATTTTTCATTGATCTCAGCCATCTTATCCTTGTCTTCTTGAGATACGGGCTCCTCCTCAACTTCCTGCTCATCTAAGAGAGCCTCGTACTCATCATCAGCTTCACCACCATCTTGTTCACCCCGGGGTTCTTCTTCTGGGACTTCTGCTGGGGAAAGAGGAGGCTGAAAAGGTTGAGGTTCTTCAAGCGCACCAACGCCCGCACCCTCATCATTGTCGATGACATCCTCCGGAGGCTGCCTTGACCCCTCGAGAATAGGGCCAACGTAAGCACCGGTAAGCATGTACTTGTAGTCACGGTATTCACTAGACTCTCCAAGCGCCCTGAACGGCCCAGCAACATCGATAGAAAGGGTATAGCAGGAGGGGGTGACGACTCTTAAATGTCGCCGCCCTGTTCCTCTCGTAGCTACACATGTTTGGCACCTTTTGTTGTAGGGAATGTGGTTGTTCCTGACGTGTCGAGCCACCCTTCAAGCTCAGCCCTGGTCATCCCTTCCAGCGGACCATCCAGCCTTCTGACACATGCTCCCTTTTTCCAGAACAACATTCCCTTCACCAGGGCATTCTTGAACTTCACGGTCCAAGTTGTGTGTCCATCGCTTCGAACCTTCCACTCAGACGGAGGATCTATTGACAACGTGGTAGCACATCGGCAACCATCATCGCTTTCCAACACAAACATCCGGTTTTTTGCCTGAAAGGTCTCCCAAACCGTGGATGTCCAGAAACCTCCATCGATGTTGCCCTCAAGGACGAAGAAGGGGATATTGGCCTCCGACATGACCGAAGCTTGGCGGGCGACTGTCCACAGAAAAAGCTGCTTCATTGCCAGCTGTCCATCAGCTGCACGAGGCGGCTCGCCAAAGATTCCCTTAATTTTTCCTTTCATGGCCGCCCAGAGAAGTGCACGATACGCGGGGCTCCAGTCTTTCAAATCCCAGGCCTTGCTCTTGCCGATGTCCACTTCGAGGATCACATTGCCGGCTTCCTCCAAGACCTTGAACTCATTGTGCGCCGTCCTTCCGGAAAACAAATGCACTATCCATGGGTTCTGAAGAAGTTTCCTTCGCATGGCTCTCTTGACCGGCAACGATTTCACATAGGTCTGCCCAGCCTTATCACTCAAATCCAAATCCTGGATCAACATGCAGCGCTGGGCTTCTGTGAGAACTCCAAAAGGCGAAGACTCGTCCATCAAGGCCTGCAAACCCACTCTTCGATCTCCCGAAAGAACGTACTCATTCAGGTAGTCGCCAAACTCCTTGTTCAAGATATGCTCCAGGGCTCTAAGGTGACCTTCTTGCACGTTGTCATGAAGCCTCTGCAGCTTTTGCTCTTCCAACTCCTGAATGATGTTCAAGGCTTGCGCTTCTCCCAACATCGGACAGCTGCCTGCTACATGCGTTCTCAACACCCCATGCTCCGGGTGTTCCACGACCAAGCCCCTTTTTCGAGTCCAATGCAAGGTACATCCCAGGGATTCTACGAGCTCGCCCAACGGGATGATCGAGGTAGGCCTGATAGCGCCTTCCTGCGGGGTTGCAGGCATCAGAGTACCAGCACGATTCTGTTTGAGGGCTACAATCCTTCCGTCGGCCAACTGTACGTGTACTTCTTCAGCAGTGGCTCTCTCAAGCTCCGTTCCTTCCCTGAAGATATGAGTGGCGCCGGAATCAAGCAAAGCGAGGTTCTCGTTGGGGTCTAAAATTGCCCTCAAAGCCGTCATCATTTCTGCACTCTCCTCAACTGTCCTCAGGGCCTGCAAACTCCCAAGCTTTTTCAACATGGCATTCGCTTCCTGCAGCAATGCCTTGATTTCAGGGTCCCTTGCTGTCCCATCAGACGAAGTGCTAGCTGCATCCTGCTGAGAGTCCAAAGACGAAGACATAGAGGACGAAGCGGGCACAGATGCTTGAGGCTGCGACCCTGATGCTTGAGATTCAGACTGCAAGGAGGGAGCAGGCTGCATAGCTGCCGCCTTCGGAGTAGGAGCCCGCTGGGACTTGCCACCATTTTTTGTAGCCTCCTTCACCGGACATTCTCCTTGTCGATGGGCTCGGGAACCGCAATGCCAACAACGAGATTTTTTCTCATCCTTTGTGGGAAACTCATGTTGAAATTGGCAGGCAGGACCTCGTCGGCAGCCGGCTTCCGAAAGAAAGAATTTGCAGGGAGCCTTTCCACCATTCTTACCAGTCTTAGAGGAAGGCGAAGAAGAGGATGGAGTTTGTTCCCCGGTTCCAGTCTGTTGATTTCCCACTGCCCTCAACTTTGGCTGATCCGCGTTGGACTGTGTCGCCTTCCTGGCCGGAGATGCATGTTGAAGCTCAGCCATAACGTGGTCAACGTACTTCATCACCGTGGCCTGGCTTGGTCTTGACTGAATTTGTAACTCATTTTTCACCAAGGAGATCCTGAACTTCACCTCCGGAAACCTTTCAATGGCCTTCTGCGAGATGGTGTCTACAGCACGAGCCAACACGCTGGAGTCTGGCGCCCGAATGTTGCACTCTTCAGCTCTTTCCAGGTACCTCCTCCACTTGCGAAGCTGCATCACCGCCTCATTCGGATCCTCGCCAGCACTTGAGCCCTCAAGTTGTCGAAGAATGGCAGCCCGTTCTGAAGAGCCACCTGGCTGATACAGTATGTGTAGTCTGTAGAGGGCCTCGGCAGGATTCGTGACACGATGAGTCACACAGTCCTCCTTCGCTGTCGCATTCATGGCGTTGAGAAGCAATGTCAGGACACGACGCTCCAGGCGCTTCCATCTTGCTTCACTCAGCTCACTCGGCAGATTCGGCTTAATGGTGAGCCTTTCCAACGGACTTGCAATCTGGTACTTGTCGTAGGCCTCACGAGCACATTTCAAAGTCGCTCCAAACCACGTAGACGCCAAGTCTGTCAAGCCCCCAACCGTCTGCTCAGTCATATACAACCAATCTGCAAACTCCACTGCCGAGTCACCCGTCACGGGTGGCATAGGTTGAAGATCGACCCCACCCTTGATGGCTTCCTGCTCCGGGGCCTCCTTCTTCTGCATGTACACTTGTTGCAGCTGTCTCATACCCTGCACCAAGAGCTTCATGGCGTCTGTGGACTCAGTAAGGTCTGGGTCCTGTCCCACTCCATCAGCCGAAGGCCCACCACCAGTTCCTGCCGGTCCATTGTTCTGGCCCGACCCGATAGGGTTGCCTCCACCTCCAGAATGAGCTTCATGCTCTTGCCCCTCAGTCAGTCGCACCTCTCGTGGCAAGGACCGATCACCGGGCACTGCATCAGGAACACCAGAACTTCCCAAGGCCGACGAACGATTCTCTCGAGATTGTTCATCACCAGGTCCTCTGCCGCCAGGAATTCCCCGAGGTTCCTTATCATGGCCTCGAAGTCCTGAAGGAGCCTCTTGAGGTACCTCATCCTGATCTCGTCGTCCGCCACCGCCTTCGTCCGTCTCCAGCATGATTCGTAGTGCTTCTCTCAAGTCCTGATTTTCGCCGCGTAAAAGCCTCATCTCCTCATCACGAGTTTGCAAGGCCATTTGTACTTGCCGTCGAACTTCATCCATGATGACCTCCTGGGGAATACTTCCACTTGAGCTGTCGTCACGAGAAGCTCCCTGTTGAAACATTCTCGGCCCGGGAGTCAGAAGGGTTCTCCTCTCCGTCCAGGTTTGCATCGCTTGACCAACCTCAGGGCTCATGAGAGGGGTGCCCTCCGATGGACTTCCATGGATGCTCTGCCACTCAGGCGGCGAAGCTTGTTCCATTTGTAACCTCGTAGCAGCCACACCAACATGCTCTAGGACTGGCGTCACCACTCGACGATGAAACACATTGCTGATACGAGTAAGCGACCACGCCCCACCAGGCTCCATTTGAGCCTCTGTCCCACCCTCAGAACTCATCGAAACTTGCTGAAGGCCTTGAGGTACTGGAGGAGGAGCGGTGAGTGGGCGAAAGGGATTCCGACCTGAAGACTCTGTTCCACCTGGGACATTGTTCACAGCCATATTTGCACGATGTTGCACTGCTTGGACCATAGCTGCTCTCTGTTCATGAAACTGTCTAACAGCTTGCTGTAGAGGCGTAGGAAGGATTCCAGGTCCAGCACTTCCCTGCGAAGGCTGCGAAGGCAATGCTTCTGAAGAGGCAGGCTGTTCTGCTGCTGAAAGTGTTGTAGATGTAAGTGGTTGGGTGTGTTGTGCACGATCGTGACCTGCCATCGTCGCGCCCGGTCCGGTTTCGTTCGCAGCTCCGGTTATCGTTGCACCACCAGCCTCACACTGACCAGCGTTGTCTGCGTTCGAAGATCTCGGGGGCTCAAGGACAGGGACCGAACTCGAGGTTCTGGCACCCTGCCCCGGAGGACCGGAGATCACGCCATTTGGCAAAGCATGCGAAGCACCACCACCAATACCACCAGCTGGCTGACCCAAATTTGGAATCGATCCATATGGTGGTCCACTGTGTTCACCTTCCAGCCGAGCCCGCCCATTTGGGCTCATAACCTGTTGGTTCTGAGAACCCCCAGGTCTAGAGCCAACAGGCCTCGGAACTTGATGATCAGCGTCTGCCATGTAATCTTCTCTGTATCGTTCCAATGAATGAAACCACGGTCGAAACTATGGCGGCAGAAGGACTTGTTTTCTCGCACAAACGAAGTTGCTCATGTACCTCATACACCCTTAGGGTTGGGATCAAGCTACCTTCGTGCCATGTCTGCTGCCTCTGATGCTTGTGCAAAGTCTGCAAGACACGGCTGCAGCGGTCGCGTTGGGCGCACCTGGGACAGGGGACATCAACAAAATCTCATCCGAGTACTGTGCCTGCCACACCAAACCCATTCAAATCTCATCCGAGTACTGTGCCTGCCACACCAAACCCATTCAAATCTCATTCGAGTACTGTGCCTGCCACACCAAACCCATTCAAATCTCATCCGAGTACTGTGCCTGCCACACCAAACCCATTCAAATCTCATCCGAGTTCTGTGCCTGCCACACCAAATCCATTCAAATCTCATCCGAGTACTGTGCCTGCCACACCAAACCCATTCAAATCTCATCCGAGTACTGTGCCTGCCACACCAAACCCATTCAAATCTCATCCGAGTACTGTGCCTGCCACACCAAACCCATTCAAATCTCATCCGAGTACTGTGCCTGCCACACCAAACCCATTCAAATCTCATCCGAGTACTGTGCCTGCCACACCAAACCCATTCAAATCTCATCCGAGTACTGTGCCTGCCACACCGATATGTGCCTTCAAATCTCATCCGAGTACTGTGCCTGCCACACCAAACCCATTCAAATCTCATCCGAGTACTGTGCCTGCCACACCAAACCCATTCAAATCTCATCCGAGTACTGTGCCTGCCACACCAAACCCATTCAAATCTCATCCGAGTACTGTGCCTGCCACACCAAACCCATTCAAATCTCATCCGAGTACTGTGCCTGCCACACCAAACCCATTCAAATCTCATCCGAGTACTGTGCCTGCCACAAACCAAAATCTTCAAATCTCGAGTACTGTGCCTGCCACACCAAACCCATTCAAATCTCATCCGAGTACTGTGCCTGCCACACCAAACCCATTCAAATCTCATCCGAGTACTGTGCCTGCCACACCAAACCCATTCAAATCTCATCCGAGTACTGTGCCTGCCACACCAAACCCATTCAAATCTCATCCGAGTACTGTGCCTGCCACACCAAACCCATTCAAATCTCATCCGAGTACTGTGCCTGCCACACCAAACCCATTCAAATCTCATCCGAGTACTGTGCCTGCCACACCAAACCCATTCAAATCTCATCCGAGTACTGTGCCTGCCACACCAAAACCCATTCAAATCTCATCCGAGTACTGTGCCTGCCACACCAAACCCATGCAAATCTCATCCGAGTACTGTGCCTGCCACACCAAACCCATTCAAATCTCATCCGAGTACTGTGCCTGCCACACCAAACCCATTCAAATCTCATCCGAGTACTGTGCCTGCCACACCAAACCCATTCAAATCTCATCCGAGTACTGTGCCTGCCACACCAAACCCATTCAAATCTCATCCGAGTACGGTGCCTGCCACACCAAACCCATTCAAATCTCATCCGAGTACTGTGCCTGCCACACCAAACCCATTCAAATCTCATCCGAGTACTGTGCCTGCCACACCAAACCCATTTAAATCTAATCCGAGTACTGTATCTCATCCGAGTACTGTGCCTGCCACACCAAACCCATTCAAATCTCATCCGAGTACTGTGCCTGCCACACCAAACCCATTCAAATCTCATCCGAGTACTGTGCCTGCCACACCAAGCCCATTCAAATCTCATCCGAGTACTGTGCCTGCCACACCAAACTCATTCAAATCTCAGCGGAGTACTGTGCCTGCCACACCAAACCCATTCAAATCTCATCCGAGTACTGTGCCTGCAACACCGAACCCATTCAAATCTCATCCGAGTACTGTGCCTGCCACACCAAACCCATTCAAATCTCATCCGAGTACTGTGCCTGCCACACCAAACCCATTCAAATCTCATCCAAGTACTGTGCCTGCCACACCAAACCCATTCAAATCTCATCCGAGTACTGTGCCTGCCACACCAAGCCCAGCCACACCAAGCCCATTCAAATCTCATCCGAGTACTGTGCCTGCCACACCAACCCATTCAAATCTCATCCGAGTACTGTGCCTGCCACACCAAACCCATTCAAATCTCATCCGAGTACTGTGCCTGCCACACCAAACCCATTCAAATCTCATCCGAGTACTGTGCCTGCACACCAAACCCCTTCAAATCTCATCCTGCGTACTGTGCCTGCCACCCCAAACCCATTCAAATCTCATCCGAAGTACTGTGGCTGCCACACCAAACCCTTCAAATCTCATCCGAGTACTGTGCCTGCCACACCAAACCCTTCACATCCATCCGAGGAAACTGTGCCTGCCACACCAACCCCTTCAAATCTCATCCGAGTACTGTGCTTGCCACACAAAACCCATTCAAATCTCATCCGAGTACTGTGCCTGCCACACCCAACCCATTCAAATCTCATCCGTACTGTGCCTGCCACACCAAACCCATTCAAATCTCATCCGAGTACTGTGCCGGCCACACCAACCCATTCAAATCTCATCCGAGTACTGTGCCTGCCACACCAAACCCATTCAAATCTCATCCGAGTACTGTGCCTGCCACACCAAACCCATTCAAATCTCATCCGAGTACTGTGCCTGCCACACCAAACCCCATTCAAATCTCATCCGAGTACTGTGCCTGCCACACCAAACCCCATTCAAATCTCATCCGAGTACTGTGCCTGCCACACCAAACCCATTCAAATCTCATCCGAGTACTGTGCCTGCCACACCAAACCATTCAAATCTCATCCGAGTACTGTGCCTGCCACACCAAACCCATTCAAATCTCATCCGAGTACTGTGCCTGCCACATCAAACCCTTTCAAATCTCATCCGAGTACTGTGCCTGCCACACCAAACCCATTCAAATCTCATCCGAGTACTGTGCCTGCCACACCAAACCCATTCAAATCTCATCCGGGTACTGTGCCTGCCACACCAAACCCATTCAAATCTCATCCGAGTACTGTGCCTGCCACACCAAACCCATTCAAATCTCATCCGAGTACTGTGCCTGCCACACCAAACCCATTCAAATCTCATCCGAGTACTGTGCGGCTGCCACACCAAACCCATTCAAATCTCATCCGAGTACTGTGCCTGCCACACCGAACCCCTTCAAATCTCATCCGAGTACTGTGCCTGCCACACCAAACCCATTCAAATCTCATCCGAGTACTGTGCCTGCCACACCAAACCCATTCAAATCTCATCCGAGTACTGTGCCTGCCACACAAAACCCATTCAAATCTCATCCGAGTACTGTGCCTGCCACACCAAAACCATTCAAATCTCATCCGAGTACTGTGCCTGCCACACCAAACCCATTCAAATCTCATCCGAGTACTGTGCCTGCCACACCAAACCCATCCAAATCTCATCCGAGTACTGTGCCTGCCACACCAAACCCATTCAAATCTCATCCGAGTACTGTGCCTGCCACACCAAACACATTCAAATCTCATCCGAGTACTGTGTCTGCCACACCAAAACCATTCAAATCTCATCCGAGTACTGTGCCTGTCACACCAAACCCATTCAAATCTCATCCGAGTACTGTGCCTGCCACACCAAACCCATTCAAATCTCATCCGAGTACTGTGCCTGCCACACCAACCCATTCAAATCTCATCCGAGTACTGTGCCTGCCACACCAAACCCATTCAAATCTCATCCGAGTACTGTTCCTGCCACACCAAACCCATTCAAATCTCATCCGAGTAATGTGCCTGCCACACCAAACCCATTCAAATCTCATCCGAGTACTGTGCCTGCCACACCAAACCCATTCAAATCTCATCCGAGTACTGTGCCGCCACACCAAACCCATTCAAATCTCATCCGAGAGCTGTGCCTGCCACACCAAAACACATTCAAATCTCATCCGAGTACTGTGCTTGCCACACAAAACCCATTCAAATCTCATCCGAGTACTGTGCCTGCCACACCCAACCCATTCAAATCTCATCCGAGTACTGTGCCTGCCACACCAAACCCATTCAAATCTCATCCGAGTACTGTGGCAGCCCAAGGCCATTCAATCTCATCCGAGTACTGTGCCTGCCACACCAAAACCATTCAAATCTCATCCGAGTACTGCGCCTGCCACAACAAACCC